TTTTTAGAAATGGAATAGTCTAAGTCTGCATTTATGTCATTCCTGTATGTATACACAGGTGTAAGAAGTTAATTCCTGGACTAGGGAAGGGCTACAAAGACCTTTTCAGAAATTGAACTTAACTCCTCTTTTTGTTTTAGTCAGACATTAAGTTCTTTGCCTGCCTTATAGCTTTTAATCCAAAAATTACATATATAAAAAATAAAAATCATTGTACATTAGCTCAGACTAGCTTTATTCTTCTTTCGTCTTCTAAACTTTCCCACCCACAATGTGTCTAGATACCCTGAAAGTCATGGGAAAACCAGTGTAAAGCGTCTACCAAACATAGACTCCCATGTTCCAAATATACTAGATGATGAAATTTTATAATAAAATTGAGGTTTATACTACAATCTCCATGAGGAAAACTCAGTAATATACTATGTTCATCTTTTAACAACTTACTAAAAACACAACTTTTAAGTGCTTTCCCTTCTTACAGTTTTAATTGTTATAACAAAACCCTCTCAAGATTTCCAAGAGCACCTTTGTAAGTAGCACAAATATCTAAGTAACATTTCTTAGGGCCTAATAAATATCAAGGCATCTATTTAGAGGCTTTTCTAAGTTCCACTGGGGGATTAATGAAAATTAATTTGTTAGACCAAATATAACCAATTTTCTCCTGCCCATGTGACTATAAAATGTGTGTTTACCTGTCTCTCTGCTTCTTTTCTGATGGCCTTCTCATTAGCACTTCAGAAAGTGCATAGAATAAGAGGAGAGAATCTCAAATGAGTCACTTTTTAAAACAGTCTTTGAGAGGTTTGAGAGTGGAATTGCGTTGGTACAGCTGCTCACTTGAGAGTGGGCTGTGGCTCTTCTCGACAGTCTTTCTGTCTCGTTGACTGTGAGAGTTGAAAGTCCCTGCTGGTCTTCTGTGTCCCTTGATGACTGTGAGTGAGTGTTTGCATTTTATGTGTCATGAAAATGATCAGCTATCTCTCTTCTGTGTGCTCTGTTGTTGATAGCTGTATAGCTGTGCTCACATGGCTTTTATAAAGCACTATAATCTATTTCCTTTATTTTCTAGTTGAGACACCTAGGAAATGATGAAGTACACATTGTTTGGTCAGAACATACTAGAGACTACAGAAGAGGAATTATTCCTACAGAATTTGGTGATGTCCTCATTGTAATATATCCAATGAAAAACCACATGTTCAGTATCCAGATCATGAAAAAACCAGAGGTGAGAATTCCTCAGTTTCTGTCTTAGTAATAGATTTTTCAATTGTGAAAATAGGGGGAAATGCAACAGATTCTGATGCTGTGTGGATTATCTTAAGCATAGTTAGAAGGACCAATCTGGGTAGAGAGACAACTAGGTAGTGTTCCTTGTGCTTAGCTCACCTTTTATTAAAACAGAAAACAAGGACAGTTTCCACAATATACAGTAAGCGCAGCCTGGTGTTAGTGAGGCACAGTTGTAGTCCCAGCAGAGTAGGGGCAAGCTAATCAGTCAACAGTCTGTGCTACTTAATGAGCCTCTGTCTTAGAAAGCCAAGAATAATTTTAAAATAATAAATGAAATACCTAAAGATGTTTTTAAATGTTAAAGAGACATTATCTCCTCCAGTTCGATATCCTAGATGTACCACAAGGTTTCAACAACTATTTCAGAAGTATTTCTTTCTAAGATAATAAAAGTTCGGCGTTATTTTCATTTTTTTAAGATGAATGCTTTTAATAGAAAATTGTTTTAACTGGTGATTCAGAATCTTTGGAATTCCTTGAATTGGGCCAAGTTTCCACTTATAAATTTTTCTGATAGACAAGTATTTTTTTCAAAGTTTATATAAATCAGAAGTCAACTTATGGCAGGGCACCACCTAATTTTGTGCAGCCTACAAACTGAGAGTGTTTCTTTTTATATGTTTTTAAAGCATTTTTACAGAAATTATAAGTTTTATGGAATTGAGCTATTGTGTGGCCATAAAGCCTAAAATACTGTGTCATCCTCAGGGCATTGTCTTGCCTTGAGCTAACATTTTTGTCAACAATATTTAAGTTAGGTTTTTTTTGTTTTTTTTGTTTTCAGTATTGAGCCTTGTACCCAGCTAGGTTAGCACTCTGCCACTGATCTATATATTCACAGCTCTCACTTGTCAACTAATAAAAGTTAGTTATAAAAGTATAGATTTTGTTTTTTAACTAACCAAGCCAAATGTGTTTTACATTTTGTACTTGTTTTTTGTCATTCTGACAAAATCTTGGGGATGACATCTTAAAAGAGGAAAGATGTATGTACTTTGTCATGGTCTTTTGGCTCCTTGTTTCTGTACCTTTGGGTCAAAGCTCTTGTTAGCCACTCTCTTATCCTAGAGTTACCCTTCTAAACATGGTCCTGGGAACTAAACATTCAGCATGAGGTTGGGGAAGACATTTCATGTCCAAACCATAAGAATAGTAAAACTGGTATCTCACAAAAATGCCCATCTAACTGCCTATCTGTAAGAATGTGTCTCTTTTCCTTTGTTTACTTGATAGAGGAGTTGATCTGTGTGTGTATGTGTGTGTAGCTGAAATTGGCAGGGGATATAAATGACATAGTTACTCAAAGCACATAGTTCTTTTGAGTGGACACCCTGTTGACCTTGGGCATTTTTGTTTGTTGTCCTAGTAGGAGTGATTCATCATGTAACGAATTGAATTTGAATATTTTTACTTGAAAGAACAGAGAGGAAGCAAAAATGCATGTGTGTGCAAAGGATCTTTTTATATTTAATCTTTTTACAGTTTGAGTTTAAATTTTATGTTCTGATCTCTCTATCAGGTTCCCTTCTTTGGTCCACTTTTTGATGGTGCTATTGTGAATGGAAAAGTTCTGCCCATTATGGTTCGATCCACAGCAATAAATGCTAGCCGTGCTCTGAAATCCCTGATTCCATTGTATCAAAACTTGTATCCTTTTTTGACTGTGTGGTTAGTATACTAGTGTACATCTGCTTTACAAAAAGGTAAATATTTTTTATGTATTAAAACTTAGTGTTTCTGTTTATTGATACATGGCCAAGTTCCTCCTTGGTGATTGAGTAATTGTGGTATTTGAATGGTATGTTTTCTTATATACCTTAAATATTAATCTTTGACTTAGTTAATTGAAATAGTATTATATATCATGTTCTGTGCTGCTCTAGAGGTGCAGAAATAATCAAACCAGTCATTGAAAAGAGTTCAGTCTGCATGGAAAAACATACTGTTTTCATTACGTGAGTTTTAAAAAAGGAATATGCAGGATGTATACTAATAAGGGACCTGCCACCAACTGGAAGTTTGTGTCCAGAAACACTTACGAGAAAAACGAAAATTGAACCAGTCTTAAATGATAACTAATTAGATGGAAGAGATAGAGAACCTTCTAAACTGGGGACAGCATGCTGAGAGACATGAAGGTGTGAGGAGGCCTGGAGTGCTTAGGAACATGGCTTCTGGAGCTGAACTTCCTCCCTGAGCCTCGGTGTACTTACCTATGAAATGAACTAGGGACAATAACTACCTCATGATCTTGGTCAGGCCACAGAACCAGGGTCTAGAGTTAAAGTTGGGCCTTGAGCAAGCTAGGCAATCACGCTACCACTGAGTCATAATCCCAGCCTAAGATATAGAACCCTTGAATCTCACTTTCTTTATCTGTAAAAAAGATTCTAATATTATAGCAGCAGCATTATGAACACTAAATGAGATTTTATGCAATTGTTAATTATATTATTCATAAATACTACAATCAATATCTCCATCCAAGATTAAGGAGTTGCTTAATTGAGTTTTTATATTGGGCTGATTAGCTGCTTATGGTGAATTCTCAGTTCTACTTTATGACATTTTAAATATTTTATCATATTGTGATAATGGTTGCCATATTTAAGAATATTCTAGGATGAAAAGAAATAATTTATATTAAAATAGTAGGCACGAACACTTTTTAAAAGCAGCATATTTGAATAGTTCTGTCAACAAAATTGCTTGTAGACTACTTCGAATGAGGTACTGGAGAGATGTCTCAGCAGTTAAAGATCTTGTACTGCTTTTGCAAAGGACCTGGTTTGGTTCCCAGCACCCACACCATATAGCTCACAACCATCTGTAATTTGAGCTCCAGAGGGATCTGTTGTTTCTGGCCTCTTTGGGAAGCTGTACTCATGTGCACATGCTTGTGCACACACACACACACACACACAATTAAAAATATTTTTTGAAAAGAATGTTGGAAGTGAAAACATTACATAGTACACTAAATTAAGACATAGGAAAATGTTTTTTCATAAGTTTAATAGTAGTTGGCCTTCCGTATCGATGAATTCCTCATTGAAAAATTTGTCCAACTCTGTGAAAAATATTTAGGAAAAAAATAAGACTTTTTTTCTTATCATTATCCCTTTAACAACAAAATGTAGCATCTACTAATATGGTACTTATATATTTATTACTATAATTAATTCAGAAATTTGGTTTTATGCAAATATTTTACCATTATACCATGGGGACTTGAGTGTCCACAGATTTTTGCTATCCATGACAGTTCCTGGAAAATAAAACCCTTACATACCAAGAGAAATATGCTGTAATAGATATCCCTATCCTTTGTTACTCTGGAGAATGTTATATTGTGTATCACAAAATGCCTAAGGTGTGTATTCTGATTGTTGAGGAAGAGCCAGACATAGTAGGTGCTCCTACAGCCAAGCTGTAAGGGCAGAGAGATTGGGAGGATCACTTCAGATCAAGAGTGATCCCATCTCAGAAACACAAATGAATGGGTGGAGGTAGGAAGGAATGTATGGGAAGTGACTTCTTTACTTGATTTTAACATGAAGGTTTATATAATAAATTACAACTGGATACTTATATTTACAGGTATTTAAGTATAGGAATATCTGTTCATTTTAGGTAACATTCTGGTTTCATAAATGTGTCTACTTTTAAAATGTATATTTTTTGACATTGGATTTCCAGTGAAGAGAAAATTGTATATTCTAAAATAAATCAATACATTTAACATGAATTATAGAAGGAATTTAAATAGAAGCCAGTTTTGAAAACTACCATACATAGTTAATACTTTAATTCCCATCGAAGAAGTAAAGAGGTAGAATGTAATAAACTCAATTGTATTTGTATAATTATACGACTGGGTCAGTTATCTTATGCCCAATAATGGTACCGACCAAGATTCCACAGCATAAATTGTGCTATTTATGATCATTAAATGGAGTTTAAATGTTATCCTAGGAACATCTTCTGTAACTATAAGTCTAATGTTCAGAAAATAAGGACAGTATTGATTGTCATATGCTGGCCAAATCGATCATGCTAGCAACCAGAATTACAGTAATCTGTCAGTATTGATGACTGTCTTTCAAGCTCTGAAACCTCTCCCTCACTTCACTTGTTGTTTCTTACATTACTTGTACTTGAAAAACATTTTCATGCAACCTCTGATTTTGTCAGCTAAGTACTTTTGTCTCTTAAGCTCAATTTGTTGGTTTGATCATGTAATTCGAATTGAATTGCCACACTCAGGAGAAAGGCCAGGCAGACTCTGGGTGACCGCTGAGCCAGAGGAGTGCTTCAAGTTTCATCCTAGGCCATCACTGGATTAGCTACCTAGAAATCTGAGTTCCAGTTTGTTTATTTGCTTAGTTTTACAATGGAAATAATTCTAAAGTTATTTCATGGTCTTAACAGTTGTGACTCTATTCCTTAAGTAAAAATTTTAAAGAAATTGTTTTGATCCTGAAGAGGGTTTCACTATGACTCTAAACATGCATGTTTTCAGTATAATGCTGTCATTGTGCTTTCTGTTTTAGAGTGAGATTTTTGTACACGTAGGAATTTTCAGAATTTATAGTGTATGATCACATTAATAAACCCAGAGCTCCACTCTTTTGTATTAACTGGTACATTTTCATATAACCCACAAAAATTCCCTTCATATGTTAATCATCTTTAGATTGCTTATGACAACTAATACAATATAAATGTCACATAAATAACGAGGAAGACATACTTTAAGGAATTGGCTTCCCTGGCTGTGGGGATTGGCAAGTGAATACCAATTCTATAGACCTAGGAAGAGTTGATGTTGCTGTCAGTCTTAAGGCTTCTAGTAGTAGAATTCCTTCCTTTCTCGAGTGGCTTCAGGTTTTTCTCAAAAGTGTTGACTGAGTGAGGCCGCCCTGTGTTATGAAGGTAAAGGGCTTTATGCAGGTCCACCTAAACAAAATATACTTAGACTAATGTTCAAAAAACATACTGTGTCCTTGACCAGCCAATATTCACTGACATATTATGATTTGCTTTGTGTCTTAAATGTTGATGCATGATAAATTATTATACTTACTTTTAAGAAGTCAAAATACAACTGTAGTTTTTTTTTTCTTATTTCAGTTGTGTTTATTGGGATGTCAAGATGGCCAAGTGGTCTATGGTGCCAGGGCTGGGGGCACATACCTGTAAGTTCCAGCAAGGCAGTAGCTGAGACAGGTGGACTTGGAGTTTGAAGCCACCAGGACAATAATAGCAAGACTCTGTCTAAAAAGAAAAAAAATATCTGTGTATTTATACATATGTGTATACACATGTAGCTGCGTCCTTATATATGTATATGCACACATCATTTACACATTAGCAAAGATTTTGAAATGATGCAGACATTAAGATGATATCCTTATAAAAGTAATATTTGAGAAGAAAGGATATGTGGTAGGTAGGGTTTTAGTTGGGGTGGTAGGGGAGGGAGAAGGGAACTGGGATTGTCATGTAATTCAATCTTGTTTGTAATTCAAATAAAAAATGATAAAAATAAGTAATATTTGAAAAATGGTAATAATTTAATAGGGAAGAATATGGATAGTAATGATTATAATTCAAGGAAGGTTACAAGCAAATTGGTATCAGAGTTCCATGGAGGAAGAAATTAGTGTGGAATAAAATCAGGAAAGAATATGTAGAAAATCTGGGTCTCAAAAGATAGAATTTGAATAGATGGAATGTGACATTTGTTATAATTCTTTTTTGTTATTGGGTTTTTTGGTTTGGTTTGGTTTGGTTTGGTTGTTTTGAAACAGGGTCTTTTTATGTAGCCCTGACTGTCCTGGAACTTTCTGGGTAGATCAGGCTGGCCACAAAGTCACAGAAATTCATCTGACTCTGTCTCCTGAATACTAGGATTAAAGGCATGTGTGTGCCACCAGGCCAAGCCAATGCTATAGTTCTTGTGATTTGTAGCTGGGGCTTTGTAAATATCTATATATAATATATCTGATATTCTGAGATACACAGTATAAAGGTACTATACAGTTAAAGAATGCTTTACACCTAGGCTTAATATGTTTTCCTACCACAACCAACATTATTTGATTTTTCTCTGTCTGTGTAGATTGACTTTTTCTTGAATGCCAGACTTGGCTTTGTTTAACTTTATCAGACAAATTACCAAATTCAATGATGATTCTTCAATTAGTCGCTGTTTGTTAGCCAGGCAGTTCAACTACTCAAATGTAAGGGACCTGTTGCAGAAGTATGAGAGCCAAAACTAAATGAATGGTAATTGATTGGCTCCACTAATGCAGTTCCCTCTCATTATGATGGACATTGTAAAGCTCCTTAGGGGAACCTCATCAATACTGCTGCCATTTCATGTTAGAAGAAAATGAGTTTCTTGAAAAATTACACAATTTTATGTATTTACTGTCTTTTGTAAAGTACTTTCTTAGAAGATAATATCAATAAATATGGACTAACTTTAATTTAATCTGTAAGAAGGAGATAATTATAGTACCAAATTTAAGATTAGTGTAAGGATTAAATACAACTGTGCAGTGAAGTCCTGTCATCTCCAGCAGCAGCTCAGAACACTGTAGCTGTCTGAGAGCTAATGACGATACTACTGTCTAAAACAC